TTGCTATGATAAGTTTCCGGGACGGTTTGGAAGCGTCTGTCTGTCATACATGGTTTTTTTTCAGGGATTTCCAGCACTGGAACTTTCACGTTCCCAAAGTTCTAAGCTCACATTCCCTCTCAAGGGAGGGTTCTATCTTGAGGTTAGCTTGAGATTATTTCGGAGCTTTTTTAGTGTCCCCGCGGCCCGGTCCTCGACCAGGCCTCCACCCCCAGGAAGCAACCTGTGACAGCTGACTAACACCCATGTACCTATTTTACTGCTAGGTAACAGGGGCATAGGGTAAAAGAAACTCTGCCCATTGTTTCTCGCCGGCGCCTGGGATCGAGGACCACAGGATCACAAGTACAGCGTGCTGTCCGCTCGGCCGACCGGCCCCCTCCAGGTGGATAGAGGGGAAGGATCGTGTATATTGTCAATGGGATTCTTGGTGGATAGGGTGAGTGGGGGTGTTGCAAAGGTGGCAAAAAAGGTCGTGGGTACCTGGTTACCTGGTTGATGGGGTTCTGGGAGTTCTTCTACTCCCCAAGCCCGGCCCGAGGCCAGGCTTGACTTGTGAGAGTTTGGTCCACCAGGCTGTTGCTTGGAGCGGCCCGAGGCCAGGCTTGACTTGTGAGAGTTTGGTCCACCAGGCTGTTGCTTGGAGCGGCCCGAGGCCAGGCTTGACTTGTGAGAGTTTGGTCCACCAGGCTGTTGCTTGGAGCGGCCCGCAGGCCCACATACCCACCACAGCCCGGTTGGTCCGGCACTTCTTGGAGTGGTGCATGGCTCGAGTAAGTAAGACTATGTTATGTCAACCTGGTCAGGTGGGTGGGTTGGCTGGTCGGTAGTGGCGTGGCCTTCCTTCTCTTTGTCCGCTCCTGCAGCCCCAGATCGATACCCGACACGCGGGTTGTCGCACGCCTACGCGTTGATTCCAACGCCCACACCGGGAATGTCCCACGCCCACACGCTAATTGCCATGCTTGTGTGCTAATTCCCAAGTTCACACACACTCTGATTTCCCATACTCTGATTCACGTACTCACACGCACACCTGATCCCCCCCCATGCTCTGATTCACGTACTCTCTCACACTCTGATTCCCTCATACTCTGATTCACGTACTCTCACACACACACCTGATCCCCCATGCTCTGATTCACGTACTCTCACACACTCTGATCCCCCCATGCTCTGATTCACGTACCCACACACCCTGATTCCAGCCTGTCCTGATAAACAAAGGTCAAAGTCCATTCCATCCACCCGCCAAACCCCAGCTGTTTATGAATGAAAACCGGTTTACACACGACTCACAACTGATGACGTTCGAACACTTCCGGAACAAGTGCTTCACTGACGACTTGTGTTCGAACCACAACGCTGTAAATGCTTCACCCACGTACTACAAATACAAATAATCGCCAACAGAACCTAAACACCTAACCTAACCTATGTCTAAATAAGTGCAGTATGATAATGTATAATAATATCAATTTATATTTGAGAAAATTCCTATTTAGAATGAACAGCATGTTAAAATTTATGGCTGCGTCTTTGGGGTCGACCGCTGGATGGAATGGACTTGGTCTGAGGACGGGTCGGTGAGTCATGTGTAAACCGTTTTTCATTCATAAACGAGGGACTTGGCGGCTGTTTGGAATGGACTTTGGCCTTTGTTTATGAGGACGGGTTGGAATCATGGTGTGAGTACGTCTCTCTCTCTCTCTCTCTCTCTCACACACACACACACACACACACACACACACACACACACACACACACACACACACACACACACACACACACACATGTGGGGCCTCGTAGCCTGGTGGATAGCGCGCAGGACTCGTAATTCTGTGGCGCGGGTTCGATTCCCGCACGAGGCAGAAACAAATGGGCAAAGTTTCTTTCACCCTAAGTGCCCCTGTTACCTAGCAGTAAATAGGTACCTGGGAGTTAGTCAGCTGCCACGGGCTGCTTCCTGGGGTGTGTGTGTGTGTGGTGTGGAAAAAAAAAAAAGAGTAGTTAGTAAACAGTTGATTGACAGTTGAGAGGCGGGCCGAAAGAGCAAAGCTCAACCCCCGCAAAAACACAACTAGTAAACACACACACACACACACACACACACACACACACACACACACACACACACACACACACACACACACACACACACACACACACACACACACATCCACAAAGAGACTTTGGGGGAACCAAAGAGCCAAAGCTCAAGCACAACTAAGTGAGTACATACACACAGTCTCTCTCTCTCTCTCTCTCTCTCTCTCTCTCTCTCTCTCTCTCTCTCTCTCTCTCTCTCTCTCTCTCTCTCTCTCTCTCTCTCTCTCTCTCTCTCTCTTTCTCTCTCTCTCTCTCTCCCCCCCACTATACAAACGACCGCAGAATTATTAAAACCACAGCCAATATAACTGATCTTAACATGAAGTCGGAAGACTTTGAAAGACAACATACCAACATGCCCTCAGCCCCGGGTCCTGACTCCTGGAAAGCAATACACATACAGAAATGTAAAGTACCAGTAGCGCGAACCCCCAGTTTAATATAGAGAAAAAGCTTGGATGCAGAGAAGATTCCAGGAGCACTTAAATCACCAAATACAGCTCCACTACACTAAGGAGGATTGTGTAATACAGACAGGAAGACTGAGGGTGACATAGGGATTAGACAGAGAGGGTGACATAGGGATTAGACAGAGAGGGTGACATAGGGATTAGACAGAGAGGGTGACATAGGGATTAGACAGAGAGGGTGACATAGGGATTAGACAGAGAGGGTGACATAGGGATTAGACAGAGAGGGTGACATACGGATTAGGCAGAGAGGAAGACATAGGGATTAGACAGAGAGGGAGGCATAGGGATTAGACAGAGAGGGTGACATAGGGATTAGACAGAGAGGGTGACATAGGGATTAGACAGAGAGGGTGACATAGGGATTAGACAGAGAGGGTGACATAGGGATTAGACAGAGAGGGTGACATAGGGATTAGACAGAGAGGGTGACATAGGGATTAGACAGAGAGGGTGACATAGGGATTAGACAGAGAGGGTGACATAGGGATTAGACAGAGAGGGAGACAGGTAGGGAAAGAGAGAGCAACAGTACAGGCCGCCAAGGACGACTGGTATCACCACGTTCCAGGTTAGCACCAATGCTGTTCTCCTGCTTCACCACTCTGGCAAGCTGTTGGCATCCCTGCCCCACACAGCTGAGAGGCGGGACCAAAGAGCCAGAGCTCAACCCCCCCGCAAGCACAACTAGGTGAGTACAGTGCCCTCTAGAACACCCGTTCTTCTTCCTCTCCCACTGTGGGAGGAAGGGTCCACTTCCTCCCACAGTGGCCACAAGGAGTCCACTTCCTCCCACAGTGGTCATAGGGATTTGCCTTGTCAAAAAGATACGGTTGTGACTGGCTTAAACAAACAAGAATGGCACAGTGCCAAATTCGGCACCACACACTGTCGTGTTCCCCAGGACCCGAGAAGCGGATACTAGGGTACAACCATAGGGTACAACCATAGGGTACAACCACAGGGTACAACCACAGGGTACAACCATAGGGTACAACTATAGGATACAATATGGTCAATTGCTATAATAATCAGAAGGAAAATTAAGAGGAATCTCTTTTAATTGCAGAAGAATGTAAACAAAGACAATAGATGAAAGAAGCTGTAAGCAGTGGCAATAGATGAAAGAAACTGGTAACTGGAAGTCGAGACAAAGTAGAAGCGTATAGAAGGATCTAATCCCTTATATGTGGTGTGGTATGGTATCCATTATCAACAGATTAGCAGAATCCTAATATCAGATTAGCCAGCAGACTGTGTCTACTGAAGACATGTGTTAGGTAAGTATTGGTTGGGGTGACTCAGGTGTTGGGGTGACTCAGGTGTTGGAGTGTCAAGAAACACTGATAAATTTGACTCAGTTACTTAAATCTGAACTAATAAGAGCCTGAGGGGGGGGGGGGGTAATGGTGGTAGTAGTGTTGATGGTGATGGTGGTAGTGGCAGTGGTGATGGTGGTAGTGGCAGTGGTGATGGTGGTAGTGGTCAGTTCCCGCGGGAGGACGACATGGTATTGGGCAACATTTCCTTTCACCTGATGCACCTTGATTCCAACCCCCCCTCTGGGAAAGGTCAGTATATTTGACCTAGGAAGGGGGGGGGAGGCCAGGATACAAGCACAAGGAGTGCTGTACCCGGCAATTGGGAAACTGAGACCTCCAACAGAACCGTCGAATTTTGGCGCCAAACATTATCGTGGTTTCAGCGAAGATTAATCCTGCTTAACTAACTTATTAAGCGTTTATGGTGTTACCTTGTTACCTTGGAGTTGTTCCGGGGCTTAGCGTCCTCGCGGCCCGGTCGTCGACCAGGCCTTCTTTGCTTGATTGGTCAACCAGGCTGTTTGACGCGGCTGTTCGCAGCCTGTCGTATGAATCACAGCCTGGTTGATCAGGTATCCTTTGGAGGTGCGTATGGTGATGGCAAGCAAACAATGTACGGCCCGTGATGTGGCCTGTTGCAATAATTCCGGTTCTCGGTGACAGGAAGCCTGTTGTTGTTAGGTTTATTGAGTTCCCCCCCCCCTCCCTCTAGGCCAAACCCCCTGACCTTCCTCACAATGCTACCCACAACAGCTGCCTAACATGCAAGTACCTATTTTACTAACAGGTGAACAGAGCAATCAGATGAAAAGAAACGTGTCTTAACCGTTTCTGTCCCTCCCGGGAATTGCACCCGGGACCATTGCTCGTGAGCCGAGGACACGCCAATAACCAAACAGGACATAACATTGTTTACTGCTGACACAATACTTATGACAAGAATCAAAGGACTATGAAACATTTCTAAATGAACTATAAACAGTCTGAACAATTGCTAATGGACTTTAACCCACACAGCTGCAAGTTATAAGGAGAGAAACAGTAGTGAGAGACACCCATTAACACGGTAGAGAGAGTGAGAGGAAGACAACTTTCTATATCAGAAAAGAAGGAAGCCGTGTGGGTAGACAAGTATGGTCGTGTCCGGATACACCAGTATGGTCGTGTCCGGATACACCAGTATGGTCGTGTCCGGATACGCCAGTATGGCCGTGTCCGGATACACCAGTATGGCCGTGTCCGGATACACCAGTATGGCCGTGTCCGGATACACCAGTATGGCCGTGTCCGGATACACCAGTATGGCCGTGTCCGGATACACCAGTATGGTCGTGTCCAGATACACCAGTATGGTCGTGTCCAGGTACACCAGTATGGTCGTGTCCGGATACACCAGTATGGCCGTGTCCGGATACACCAGTATGGCCGTGTCCGGATACACCAGTATGGTCGTGTCCGGATACACCAGTATGGCCGTGTCCGGATACACCAGTATGGCCGTGTCCGGATACACCAGTATGGCCGTGTCCAGGTACACCAGTATGGTCGTGTCTGGGTACACCAGTATGGTCGTGTCTGGGTACACCAGTATGGTCGTGTCTGGGTACACCAGTATGGTCGTGTCCGGATACGCCAGTATGGTCGTGTCCGGATACGCCAGTATGGCCGTGTCCGGATACACCAGTATGGCCGTGTCCAGGTACACCAGTATGGCCGTGTCCGGATACACCAGTATGGCCGTGTCCGGATACGCCAGTATGGTCGTGTCCGGATACGCCAGTATGGCCGTGTCCGGATACACCAGTATGGCCGTGTCCGGATACGCCAGTATGGCCGTGTCCGGATACGCCAGTATGGCCGTGTCCGGATAACTTTCACAAACTTGGACAAAGTTGCCATGGGAGCGCCACAGTAACGCCGCGGGAGTCCGGCTCCTCTGCATCTCTGCAACACGGAACTCTTACCTAAGGAAACACAAAACCAAAGAAGAAGAGAGAAAACATGCATCAGGGAGCCGGTCGGCCGAGCGGACAGCACGCTGGACTTGTGATCCTGTGGTCCTGGGTTCGATTCCAGGCGCCGGCGAGAAACAATGGGCAGAGTTTCTTTCACCCAATGATCCTGTTACCTAGGAGTAAAATAGGTACCTGGGTATTAGTCAGCTGTCACGGGCTGCTTCCTGGGGGTGGAGGCCTGGTCGAGGACCGGGCCGCGGGGACACTAAAAAGCCCAGAAATCATCTCAAGATAACCTAATGCTCTTTATTAGACCAGTAAACTTAACCCAAATAAAAACAACTTGTCAACAAGCGCCAGGATAAGTGGACCAAATCACTCGAATTCAATTTACGGAAAAACTACCTTTCTTCCTTGGAAATGACTTGGCTGGAATGATGGACCTGGGATGCCTTGAGGTGCTTCCGGGGCTTAGCGTCCCCGCGGCCCGGTCGTCGACCAGCCCTCAAAATCATCCGGGGATGATCACAGTTGCCCGTCAAGGCACACGGAAGCAGCCCGTGACAGCTGACTAACTCCTAGGTACCTATTTACTGCTAGGTAACAGAGGCATAGGGTGAAAGAAACTCTGCCCATTGTTTCTCGCCGGCGCCTGGGATCGAACCCAGGACCACAGGATCACAAGTCCAGCGTGCTGTCCGCTCGGCCGACCGGTACTGCCATTGGTGGACTCTCCCGGATGGTGCCTGTGGTACGGTGGTATGGTGTGCTGATCCAACTGACTCTGGTGGAACCTGAGCCGCCCTGCGCGTACCTCCAGTCATGCGATAGTTGCGACCTTGCTGTGGCTCTCCTGTGGTTTGTTTTAGATTCAGCTACTCGGAACTAAAGGTTCCATGTAGCACGGTCTATGGTGAGCCCGTAATGTCGTGGTTTATCGCAGGATCCTTTTGTATAACTTCTATGGGAGGGCCAGGGGTAAATGTCTTTATATATGTAAGGGAGAAGGTCTGTCCAAGGTTGGAGGTCAGACGCTTGGGGCTAGCCTCACCCAACTTTACAGGGATACTGGTCTAGGGCATGGGACGCACATAGGCTGGTCGGAGATCAGTCTTATTGGTCCTTTTAGAACCTTTTAAGACTTTCGTTCTGTTTTCCGTGTCGAATGTTTCATTCCTTGTCTTTTTTGCCAGCAGTGTTATATCTCCCCACTCTGATATCTCCCATTTCACTGTGATATGTGCTCACCTATCAGACGTACTTCGTTACCTATAGAGTAGGCGGTGGGAACATGCAGGGAGCCGGTCTGCTGAGCGGACAGCACGCGGGACTTGTGATCTTGTGGTCCTGGGTTCGATCCCAGGCGCCGGCGAGAAACAATGGGCAGAGTTTCTTTCACCCTATGCCCCTGTTACCTAGAAAAATAGGTACCTGGGTATTAGTCAGCTGTCACGGGCTGCTTCCTGGGGGTGGAGGCCTGGTCGAGGACCGGGCCGCGGGGGCACTAAAAGCCCCGAAATCATCTCAAGATAACCTCAAGAAGCCTACTCCAGCCATGTACTCCAACCTACTTACATATGGTTGAGTGAGGACGCTTAAAGACTTACGTATGGTGGAGTAAGAAGGGTTCAAGGGTAGACTCCCAAGTGGGAGCTACCTCTCAGGCCTACCTATCCACCCACACTACCCAGCTCCCCACCACCACCATCCCCCCCCCTTGCCATATCCTGCTCCCACCCCTATCATCCTCCAACCCTTATATCCCCTCCACCCCCCTCCCCGAGGACGAAGCCAAACTGAGAATACACAGGACTTGAGGCTCCTGGGAAAGTGACAACTTTTGGCTAAACTTTGGACTCTAAATGAGCAACTTTGGATTGGAATTCGGACAACTGTGAGGGAGGTGTGGACTTGAATTTGGACTGTGGGTGAGGGATAAATGTGGACTGGTCCTTGGACTTTGGGCAGTTGACTTGTTAACAGCTAAGGGACCAGATTCATGAAGCGGTTACCCAAGCACTTACGAACCTGTACATCTTTTCTCAATCTATGGCGGCTTTGTTTATAATTATTAAACAGTTAATGAGCTCCGAAGCACCAGGAGGCTGTTTATAACAATAACAAAAGTTGATTGGCAAGTTTTCATCACTGTAAACTATTTAATAAATATAACCAAAGCCGTCAAAGACTGAGGAAAGATGTACACGTTCGTAAGTACTTGCGTAACTGCTTCGTGAATCTGGTCCCAGGTCTTTAAACAGAATGAATGTTGAGTACGAGTGAAGGTTAGGTTAGGTCATGAAGTAAAGGAGGAATTTGGAAGGGAAAGTGAAGTGTTCCAGAGGTTGAGGGAAGGAAGGAGGTTCTGAAGAGAAGATGAAGGAGTCCTGTCAGAGGAAGAGGGATTTCATAGGAAGAGGAAGAGCTCTGTAGGAAGAGGAGTGGGGCTCTTGTAACATTGCAACAATGACTCAATTAATGCATAACTAATTCCTTTTCACTTAAAAACTAACCATTAATCTACAAGAAAATATGAATCCCCGAAAGCATTCCATTACTCATCACAGGTGTCTATGTTATATCCAATTAACATAATTAAATTTGTAATTATTAAATTTATAATTGTTTATAATTAAATAATTATAATTAATCCTTATCTCAAATAAAATTCCATTGCAATAGTAAAATTAAACTTTAGGGTATAATACTTGTTTGTTAATGATCACAATTGAAGCAGTTTTTGTGGTTGTGTGAAACGAAACAATAATTTTGTTTTTTTAAAGAAAAAAGAATTGTTTTAAGGATCGGAAAGCATGATAAATTGTACTCGATTCCGATTACTGAAAAATGTTGGATTCTAACGATTCTCGAAGACGATTAATCGTCCCGTCACTGATGAGTACCTAAACCGTTTGGGCAGAATACATCAAAACTATAACAACATATAATAACGTAACTCCTCTCCTATAACAACAACAAAAGTTCATTGAAATTATACACGTTAGTGTATGATTTCTAGAGTCTATGATTCTAGAGTATTAGAATTTTTAGCCCAACTGCATTTCTTATATATATATACTTTTGTTTTCAACATGTAGGGAGTATTAATTGTACAGGAAAAAGCAATACGAAAAGGCAACAAATTTGAAATGTTCTGAAAATCCTTTGATGCATTGTTGTGGAGGTCGAGTTGACTCTCCCTCCTGACCCCAGCGGCTGGCCGCCTGCCCAACCGCTTTTCATAATGTATGCAATTTTTTTCGGCCTAATTTCGTGTCCGTGTATTCATTGAGCGGGACTTCGTTAATTGCCTCAGTTACCGCTAATACTCTCTTGACTCATTTTCTGTGTTATTTCCGTTTTCAGTACTGATAAAAAGATGTTTTTATGTAATTGTTACGACAAACGGCCGGCTTTCTGTCCCCGTCGATGCCATTAGAAAGATGATGTGTCTCAGATATTCAACTCATATATATTATATGCAGGTTCGAATCGTGGATGGGTCATAGAGTTGTTAGTGATATCTAATAATAATAATAATATTAGTAGTGGTTCCGAACATTGGAAACTTATAGTTAGCGTTCTATATTTATAGATATATTTCTATATCTATAAATTCTATATAGATATAGAATTTATAGATATAGATTTATAGATTTATTTTCTCAATAAATATATTCTTAAAACTTTATATTATACAATATTTACAGTCAGAATGCCCTGTAATCTTAGCAAGTTTCATATGTTTGTTCATACATAATATTATTAATTAATGTTATCAAAAGGACAAGAAGATTAAATTTATCTCTCGAAATTTATTTTAAAATGTTTTATAATTGTTTAAGTTATTACAAAATATTTATCATTATTTAGAAGTAAAGTAGATTTTTATTTTTATTCACTAGGAACTATTACAGTGTAGCAATTTAAAGTAATACCATATTAGATAGCGTAAGTTTTAATCCATCTATAAGCGTATTGTTACAACGCATATTATTATCGTGATAACGAACTTACATTAAATGAAATTATTATCGCGTGATTTATTATTAAATTCCTAATAAATGTGAAGGCAGGTTATTGGTGTATGCTGGTGTGTTTGATAAGGGAGGTGGGGCCGTTTGGGCAGTGTTGATTCTTCCTGCACGCCTGCCAGCCCCTGGCGCAAACGTGTTGTAACCGCCCACACACACACACACACAGCTGTTTACACGCTCGTCTCTGCCTCTACCACCTCTTTTCAGACCCATTTTCTCTCCCTCTCTTTGGCTTTCTATCTAATGTTCGATCTTGCTTTTATTAGTCCTGCCTGCACCCCTGCCAGCCGTATGAGTAAACATGTTATGGTTCTAACGCCTCTCCTTCGTCGTCTTTTTCTGTCTGTCTGTCTGTCTGTCTGTCTGTCTGTCTGTCTGTCTGTCTGTCTGTCTGTCTGTCTGTCTGTCTCTCTGTCTCTCTCTCTCTGTCTCTCTCTCTCTCTCTCTCTCTCTCTCTCTCTCTCTCTCTCTCTCTCTCTCTCTCTCTCTCTCTCTCTCTCTCTCTCTCTCTCTCTCTCTCTCTCCATTCCTTCTTTCTCTACCCCTATTGTTCACTTACTACAAATTATTCTCTCCATCTTGCTTTTGATTCCTCTCTCCACTTCCATCCTCATTTTTTCCGTTTCTCCATCTCTCTTCTTTCTTCCTTCCTATCTTCCCACCCACTCTCTTCTTCCCTCTCCTTTCTACTGTCTTTCTTTCTGTTGTCCATTCTCTTTGCCACTATCTTGTGCCTCCTAGTCATCACCATTACTTTCTGGGTCCACTATCCATCACCATTAAATTCCTGTGCTTCCTATGCCATCACCATTACCTTCTTGGGCCCTCTATACATCACCATTATATTCTTGTTCCCGCTAGACATTACCATTACTTTCCTGTGCCCTTAACCATTACTATAACCTTCTAGGTCCTAATCAGCACCGCTATTAGATCCATTAATCATTGTCTCTCTTGGTCTCTTAATCATTACCATTACTTTGTTGAGCTTCCTTGTCGTCAGAATTTGTTTCCGAATCTATGGTTCACAATCTTGAGACGCCAATCTTTCCAGAGGTTTTGAAATTTGTCTTTTTAATGAAATTTAATTAAATTTCTTTACTATAGTTTGTCATGGAATACAGCCGAGTTTGACACGTTTTCTTTATATCTTGATCTATTCGAGAACTTTTTTGTTATATATTAAATAATTTTGGTTTATACGCTTTAATTTTATCTGTCCATTTACACGTAATAATATATTTTAATTTCATGTATTTTCAGGTGTCTTTTTATTGCTGTCATCTTGTATATCTTAAGGAAAATAATGATAGATCAAATTATCATAGTTAGTGGTTGTAGTAAGACGTGTGAGACTCGCGTTTTCTTTGGCAGGTTTGTTTGTGACTCGCGTTTTCTTTGGCAGATTTGTTTGTGACTCGCGTTTTCTTTGGCAGATTTGTTTGTGACCCGCGTTTTCTTTGGCAGATTTGTTTGTGACCCGCGTTTTCTTTGACAGATTTGTTTGTGACCCGCGTTTTCTTTGACAGATTTGTTTGTTACCCGCGTTTTCTTTGACAAATTTGTTTGTGACCCACGTTTTCTTTGACAGATTTGTTTGTGACCCGCGTTTTCTTTGGCAGATTTGTTTGTGACCCGCATTTTCTTTGACAGATTTGTTTGTTACCCGCGTTTTCTTTGACATATTTGTTTGTGACCCGCGTTTTCTTTGGCAGATTTGTTTGTTACCCGCGTTTTCTTTGACAGATTTGTTTGTGACCCGCATTTTCTTTGACAGATTTGTTTGTTACCCGCGTTTTCTTTGACAGATTTGTTTGTGACCCACGTTTTCTTTGACAGATTTGTTTGTTACCCGCGTTTTCTTTGACAAATTTGTTTGTGACCCGCGTTTTCTTTGACAGATTTGTTTGTGACCCGCGTTTTCTTTGGCAGATTTGTTTGTGACCCGCATTTTCTTTGACAGATTTGTTTGTTACCCGCGTTTTCTTTGACATATTTGTTTGTGACCCGCGTTTTCTTTGGCAGATTTGTTTGTTACCCGCGTTTTCTTTGACAAATTTGTTTGTGACCCGCGTTTTCTTTGACAGATTTGTTTGTGACCCGCGTTTTCTTTGGCAAATTTGTTTGTGACCCGCGTTTTCTTTGACAGATTTGTTTGTGAGGATGAGCACAACACCGGCGCCCATTGTCCTCGTCCTAGTGTCCGCTCTCCTGGTCACCTGTAACGTCTTCTGGCTGTACTCCTCCACCACACACAGCCACAGAGGTGAGTGACTCCACCACACACAGCCACAGAGGTGAGTGACTCCACCACACACAGCCACAGAGGTGAGTCTGACTCCACCACACAGCCACAGAGGTGAGTGACTCCACCACACACAGCCACAGAGGTGAGTGACTCCACCACACACAGCCACAGAGGTGAGTGACTCCACCACACACAGCCACAGAGGTGAGTGACTCCACCACACACAGCCACAGAGGTGAGTGACTCCACCACACACAGCCACAGTGAGTGACTCCACCACACAGCCACAGAGGTGAGTGACTCCACCACACACAGCCACAGAGGTGAGTGACTCCACCACACACAGCCACAGAGGTGAGTGACTCCACCACACAGCCACAGAGGTGAGTGACTCCACTACACAGCCACAGAGGTGAGTGACTCCACCACACAGCCACAGAGGTGAGTGACTCCACCACACACAGCCACAGAGGTGAGTGACTCCACCACACAGCCACAGAGGTGAGTGACTCCACCACACAGCCACAGAGGTGAGTGACTCCACCACACAGCCACAGAGGTGAGTCTGACTCCACCACACACAGCCACAGAGGTGAGTGACTCCACCACACAGCCACAGAGGTGAGTCTGTATTCAACCCGGCCTCTCGAATAGTACGTCGTATTTTGACGTATATATCCCCCTACGGTAAATAACTGACGTCACTAAAAACTATAGCTGCTCGCAAAATTGACTTGGTGTCCCGTTTTCTGTTCGTGGGTCCTCAGTTAGGTTAGGTATGGGTCAATTTAGTGACGTTGGGAACTCTGAGAGGACCTTGCCTTGAGGTGGTTTCGGGGCTTAGCGTCCCCGCGGCCCGGTCGTCGACCAGACGGTAAGGATTTACTCCTGCAGCCACAGAGGTAAGTCTCTTTCCACACTCCACACATAGCCATACACTGTAGCTTTGATTCCTCTCTATCACACACGCCAGATACCGGTCTGGTCGCCCTGTACCACACACACACCACAACATAGCAATAGTTAACATGGTCGTTATCCCCACACTACCGGAGTCAATAGGGAAAAAATGTATGGTCTATATAGGAGCAGTTTTCAACAAAGCGACAAGGGCACTTAGGATTATATAATTTATAATAGATACCCTTTAAAAATGCAGAGCGGTTCAGGAGTCAGATTCACGAAGCAGTTACGCAAGCACTTACGAGCCTGTACATCTTTTCTCAATCTTTGGCGGCTTTGTTTAGAATTATTAAACAGTTAAAGAAGTTCGAAGCACCAGGAGATTGCTTATAACAATAACAACAGTTGATTGGGAAGTTTTCATGCTTGTAAACTGTTAAACAAATGTAAACAAAGCCGTCAAAGATTGAGGAAAGATGTACACGTTCGTAAGTGCTTGCGTAACTGGTTCGTGAATCTGGCCCCAGGACCGTTGTTGAGGCGCCGTTGCCACACCCACACGATGGTGACGGTTGAGAGGCGGGACCAAAGAGCCAGAGCTCAACCCCCGCAAGCACAACTAGGTGAGTACGATGAAGTGTGACCAATGTTGACTTGGAATATCATTCTCGGCCGTAAATACTTCCTCATTAAGATGCAATATTCCCGTACTGTCATAAGCTCTCACTTATTACAGTAATTCCATATAATGACACTGAGCTGTGCAAGCCTCTCGTCCTGCCATGACACTGAGCTGTGCAAGCCTCTCGTCCTGCCATGACACTGAGCTGTGCAAGCCTCTCGTCCTGCCTTGACACTGAGCTGTGCAAGCCTCTCGTCCTGCCTTGACACTGAGCTGTGCAAGCCTCTCGTCCTGCCTTGACACTGAGCTGTGCAAGCCTCTCGTCCTGCCATGACACTGAGCTGTGCAAGCCTCTCGTCCTGCCATGACAGAGCTGTGCAAGCCTCTCGTCCTGCCATGACACTGAGCTGTGCAAGCCTCTCGTCCTGCCATGACACTGAGCTGTGCAAGCCTCTCGTCCTGCCATGACACTGAGCTGTGCAAGCCTCTCGTCCTGCCATGACACTGAGCTGTGCAAGCCTCTCGTCCTGCCATGACACTGAGCTGTGCAAGCCTCTCGTCCTGCCATGACACTGAGCTGTGCAAGCCTCTCGTCCTGCCATGACACTGAGCTGTGCAAGCCTCTCGTCCTGCCTTGACACTGAGCTGTGCAAGCCTCTCGTCCTGCCTTGACACTGAGCTGTGCAAGCCTCTCGTCCTGCCATGACACTGAGCTGTGCAAGCCTCTCGTCCTGCCATGACACTGAGCTGTGCAAGCCTCTCGTCCTGCCATGACACTGAGCTGTGCAAGCCTCTCGTCCTGCCATGACACTGAGCTGTGCAAGCCTCTCGTCCTGCCATGACACTGAGCTGTGCAAGCCTCTCGTCCTGCCTTGGCATATATGCACCGATGAAGTTGATATAGCACCAGTGGGGTGGAAGGTGTAAGTACCTAGCGTTGCAGGCCGGGGTTCGATCCCACTATGTTGGAAAATACAGTCTATGTCACACACAGAAATCACACTAACGTGATGCATCAAATGAAGAAATCCACAAGGGCCGTGACGAGGATTCGAACCTGCGTCCGGGAGCATGTAGGATGAGCAGTGTCTGGGATGCTCCCGGACGCAGGTTCGAATCCTCATCACGGCCCTTGTGGATTTGTACAGACTATGTATTTTCTCGTAGATATGTTACGTTCTTGGTATTTCATTATGTACTTGACGAGTTGCGTAACATAATGTAGCCTGTTTCACATATACATTATATCTATATATTACTGTTATATGTTAGGGTCTATGTATGGAACCGGTCGGCCGAGCGGATAACACGCTGGATTTGTGGTCCCAGGTTCGATCCCGGGCGCCGGCGAGAAACAATGGGCAGAGTTTCTTTCACCCTATGCCCCTGTTACCTAGCAGTAAAATATTTACCTGGGTGTTATTAGTCAGCTGCCACGGGCTGCTTCCTGGGGGGTGGAGACCTGGTCGAGGACCGGGCCGCGGGGACACTAAAGCCCCGAAATCATTTCAAGATAACCTCAAGATAACTACCCATATGTTCTGGGGAAAGGTAACGTTGATGAGTAATGCGGATGAATAACACTGATAGCTAACCTAATACTGTCAGATAACGCAGATTGAGCAGCATTGTAAGGTAACACTGATGGGTAAATACTAGTGGGTAGTACTAATAAACAATACTGGTAGGTAATACCCATCGATAAATGGTACTTACGCTGTCTGGTGACTAATGGCATCTGGGGCTAAATTCACGAAAGGACTTACGCAAGCACTTACGAACGTGTACATCTTTCCTCCATCTTTGACGGCTTTGGTTACATTTATTAAACAGTTTACAAGCATGAAAACGTCCCATTTAACTGTTGTTATTGTTATAAACAGCCTCCTGGTGCTTCGGAGCTCATTAACTGTTTAATAATTGTAAACAAAGCCGCCAAAAATTGAGAAAAGATGTACAGGTTCGTAAGTGCTTTCGTGAATCTGGCCCCTTGAATATTCCACAAACATCAACGTTATTTTGTTTTGGTCGGTAATGAGGAGTCAGCTGATATTGAGCGCTTCTTTGCTAGACCTCACTATATGCTCTATATTGTGTATCATTACTGGTCATTATTAATATCTCTCTCTCTCTCTCTCTCTCTCTCTCTCTCTCTCTCTCTCTCTCTCTCTCTCTCTCTCTCTCTCTCTCTCTCTCTCTCTCTCTCTCTCTCTCTCTCTCTCTCCCTCTCTCTCCCTCTCTCTCTCTCTCTCTCTCTCTCTCTCTCTCTCTCTCTCTCTCTCTCTCTCTCTCTCTCTCTCTCTCTCTCTCTCTCTCTCTCTCTCTCTCTCTCAGTTATAAAATAAATATTATCGCACTCGCCCATTCAGTAGGACTGTGTGGTCATGACTTCGAGGCATGGGGAAGCAGTAGCAGCAGCAGTAGCAGCAACAACAGCAGCAGCAGCAGCGGCAGCAGTAGCAGCAGCAGCAGCAGCAGTGGCAGCGTCCCCCACCGGAGGGACTACCAGCAGGTGGTGGGGAGCGGGCTGCTGGACGTGCCCTTCCCTATCCCCATCCCTAACGACACTGTCCTCCTGGGCAACGACGCTGAGGGCGAGGAAGGGTGAGTACTGGCCGGAGGATAGGAGTCCTCAGCTAGTCGAGCCTGGCCTCGGGCTGGGCTTGGGGAGTAGAAGAACTCCCAGAACCCCATCAACCAGGTATCAACCAGCTGGGGAGGAATGTGGGATATCTGGGGGGAGGATAGGAGATGGAGAAGCATCAGGTGGGAAGGAATGGGTAACCCCTGAGAAAGGACACGGAGAACGTCCATTGAGAAAGATCGAGTTAGAGGATGATAGAAAATGAGAAATCCAAGAGGAACCGATAAATAGTTTATTTACTTCTCTAGCTATTAAAGAAATCTTTACAGTTTTCTGAGGAATAATTTTAAGATGGTACCAAGAGTGACAGTCATGCGTGAAGGCGAGGTTAGTTTAGTTCATTTATTATGCACCCCATACCTATCCTGTGGGCGGTAGTAGGAAGTCCGTTGACATGAGAATGGTCCAGGACGGACCGAAACGTCGTCGTCCCTTCACCTTGTAGTGTGTGGTCTGGTCAACATAGGGGAAAGTGTTACAGAGGCACATAATGGGCTGAACCCCACAATTCGCGAGGAATGCAGCAACTAACATCTATGGATCTGTACCCTGGAGATTGAGAATCAAATCTTGAGATAACGGTGATGAAGAGAAGAGAGAAGGGAGTGGGATGAGAAAAACATGAACTGGAAAGTTGACGTGATTTTGTTTTGGTTTTGAGGCTAGAAACGCTGGAGAGTCAGTCTGGAAGGGTTCTAGGGCAGATCTGTATGTGTCAAGGAGTGGACGTGGAATGGTTATGGAGTCTGTTGTTGCTGTTTAAGATTCAGCTACTCGGAACAAAAAGTTCCAAGTAGCACGGGCTATGGTGGACTTACCTGGCACAGGAGCGGGGCAAGTAGCACGGGCTATGGTGGACTTACCTGGCACAGGAGCGGGGCAAGTAGCACGGGCTATGGTGGACTTACCTGGCACAGGAGCGGGGCAAGTAGCACGGGCTATGGTGGACTTACCTGGCACAGGAGCGGGGCAAGTAGCACGGGCTATGGTGGACTTACCTGGCACAGGAGCGGGGCAAGTAGCACGGGCTATGGTGGACTTACCTGGCACAGGAGCGGGGCAAGTAGCACGGGCTATGGTGGACTTACCTGGCACAGGAGCGGGGCAAGTAGCACGGGCTATGGTGGACTTACCTGGCACAGGAGCGGGGCAAGTAGCACGGGCTATGATGAGCCCGTAATGGACTTACTTGGCACAGGAGCGTTGCTGTAACTTGTATAGAGTCTGTTGGGAAGGTTTTGAAGTAGAGCTGAAAGGTTTGTGTAATATTCGTCGCATGACTGAAAGTAAACTGCGCTTGGAATGCATGTTTATTGGTTGTGGAATCGAGTCTTTGACCGAATAGAATGGAAACTCTGTCAAAGTTGTAGGGTGTAGAATGCTTATTATATGAGTGGAATAGACCTTAGTGGTTGGTGACAGATGTGGAACAGTGGATTTGATTCAAAGATGTGGAACAGTGAATTTGTGTCGAAGATGTGGAACAGTGGATTTGATTCAAAGATGTGGAACAGTGAATTTGTGTCGAAGATGTGGAACAGTGGATTTGTGTCGAAGATGTGGAACAGTGAATTTATATTGAAGATGTGGAACAGTGAATTTATATTGAAGATGTGGAACAGTGGATTTGATTCAAAGATGTGGAACAGTGAATTTGTGTCGAAGATGTGGAACAGTGAATTTGTGTCGAAGATGTGGAACAGTGAATTTATATTGAAGATGTGGAACAGTGGATTTGATTCAAAGATGTGGAACAGTGAATTTGTGTCGAAGATGTGGAACAGTGAATTTGTGTCGAAGATGTGGAACAGTGGATCTGAGTCGAAAATGTGGAACAGTGGATTTATGCTGATGTGGAACAAGGCATGTAGATGGTGAATGAGTAACAGGAAATATTGTTGCAATCAAAAATTTTCAAATATTTCAATTAACATAATTCATATCAAATAAATATTGTGATAGTTACAAGATAAACTATGTTTACAAATTAATTATAGTAAAGTTTAGTTAATGAATGCTGTTTAATTAATTTTAATTACAAAACTCATTGTCAACAAAGAAGGGCTTTTGTTGTTGATTTAGTGGGAGGACAATCCCATGGAAGGGGTTAGAGTATGTTTTGTATGGATGTGTGTGTTTTTAAATGTGTATAACCATCATGGGTATAGCCATCATGTGTATAGATAGCCATCATGTGCATTGTTATCATGTGTATCATGTAATTACCTAAGTGTAATTACAGGATGAAAGCTATGCTCATGGTGTCCCATCTTCCCGGTATTCCTAGTCATATATAACATGACATGTGTATAGTTATCATATGCATAGCCATCATGAGTATAGTTATCATGTGTATAGCATCATGTATATAGTTACAATGTGTATAGCCATCATATGTATATATATATAGTTATCACTTCTCCCCTTCTCTCCCAATAGCAATACCCGCTACCTGACAATCGGCATATCATCAGTGTGGCGCAAGGATGACTACCTGACCCGCACCATCGACTCCATACTGAGGGAGACAACAGAGCATGAGCGGAATGACATCCTTATATTTCTCCTCCTTGCTGATGCAGACTCAAACCTCAGGTATATCATGCTACACTGTCCTAAATGATCATTTTGTTACTTGTTACAGGTAAGGAATTGTAAGTTAAGATTGTTGATGATCATTTGTTAATCATTGTTTCCATCTGCATTTATGATCTTGCAGGAATTCTAGGTCTTCATATGCTCTAAGATCTTGGAAGTGGATATTTCCTTCACTTACATTATTCTTTCTTATATTTAAATTCTTAGGCCCTACCTAATTTTTACATCTTAAGAATTTCTGTAATGGTTCACCATTTAATTCTGATTTTTTTTTTAAGTTTACATCTGTTATATCAAATTATTTATTTATCTTGTAACATTCGAAGAGAGGTCATGAGATTGACTCTGTCTGGGGTTAGTGTGAGGTTAACATCCCTCTTGAGTCCATGAAGGGTGGATGTGGGCTGATGTTGTCGACAGAAGGAAATATGGTGTCACTGATCTATTGTAATGCTCTGAGACCTTCCTTTCCTTAATAATAGTGAATTCAGAGGCCAGTAACTTGTCAAACTTTTATGGCTGTGTGAAAAGATGCATTCCAGCATCTGTAGTGGGAATAGAATAGGCCTGATCTTCCTGTGGCCCTCCTGACTGACAGGTGACAAATTACCTAGATGGGCTCTGGGCACCTACTATTCAATGAGAGGAAAAGAGGGGGTTCCCTTCTTACAGAACACCCAATCATAGTAAGACCACCCCAATGTGTCAGAGCATTTGTCCCCAGTGGTAGGCCTAGTTTTGTTCCCGTCTTGCAATCGGTTCCCCAGTGGTGCTGGGGGGAGGGGGGGGGGTCAAGGAACATTAGGGAAAGGATAGAGTGAGTAGTCAGTGTGCATTTAGGGCCCAAATCAAAAGTAATGTTTTCCATTTTCAGGAGGAAACAGGGCTACCAACAGACCCTGGGAATACTACAGTTTCATGCAAAGTAATTACTATATATGTGTTCATAACATCATCTTCCTGAGAGTAGGTGCAGTTTGCATGAAGGGTTTACCCTCCCGATGACTGCACCAGGACAGATGTTGGGAGACTCATTGACATTGAGGAAGATAAGAATGTCAAAAGTGCTAGTTGCGTTGTGCGAGGAGCGGCGACTAAAACAGAGGTGGATGGTAGAGGGAGACTTGCCGCACCGTAGGGCGGGATGTCAGGTTCATGGCGTCAGCGGATCCATGGCGTAACGTGCGCAATCCGGGAACTTGTGTATCACAAAGTGCAAGCAGTACGCTTCCCAAATCATCAATGTGTCAAAGGACACCCGGCCACCAGGCGGCGCCTTTGGCCGAGACTTCCTATACTTCACCCCATAAACAAACTCCTTCACCTGCGGCACCCAGATAGTGGAAGAGCACCATGGAATTGGAAGCACCCGGCCATCCTGTTATGGGCCCAACACCAGACCCTCACAGGTCACGACCCCGGCAGCAGGGACAAGGCTCCCCGCAGACCGGGGCAACGAAGGAGGAGGAATCACAGGGGACACAGGCGTGGCATCGACCCCACCACTGGGCACAGGAGCTGAGGCCCCCCGGCGCACATCTTTCCTCAGCACCACGACGAGGTCTCGATCATCAGAGGCAACTTCCCACTGCTGGGATCCAACAGCAGGAGGTGCAGGGCAAGGGGGCACAGGAAGCAAGTTGGAGCCCTTCACAGCCCCGTCATCTACGGCGGGGGACGCCGGAGCACTATACTCCCCCACCTCCTCCCAAGGCACACCACGAAGGGGGGAGACACTCCGAGACCGCCGCGAATGCTTCAAGATAGGCCGCACCACACCACTCCCACCAGGCCCTACCACAGGCATGGCCACCATCCTCACATCCACACAGTCCACACCCACATTGTTCAAAGAGTCCATAGAGGCCACATCGCTCGCACTGTCCACATCATCCAGGGAAACAGCCTCAGAATACCGGCGCACACGCTTTTGCAAAGGAATGAAAGCATCAGAACTACAGTCGCCGACACACACAGGCACGGCAGGCACCTCCCCCCCCACCAAAGCACCCCTAAGCACCCCAGCTCCAAAACAGCAGAACCCGCGTCCCCGGGAGCCGGGACCACATCCACAATGGGGGCAGGACATGTACCTCCACTGGGACGTCCTTCACTACACGCAGCGCAGGCGACGGCCTGACACCCACACACACCGGCTCAACAACCCCAGGGGGCCACAACAGTTACCAGATGTGTCGCACAGGCCGTAGAACTCGCCTCAACAGGCGGAGCAGCAGACAGTTAATCAAGTTCCTCAGGCACAGTACCCGCTTCGTCCTCAGTACTGTACTGTCTGAACGCAACAGGGGAGGAAAATCCTCTGCACGAAAAATATGCACCCTACCAGTTGCTCACACGTCGCACGCTGCAGCCAGGATGACCCTTGTGACCACACCTATAACAGGTGCGCAGTTGCGCCCGATACAGGCAGCGGAGCGTGTAACCCAACACGGACATCGACGATGGGACACTACACTTCAGCAACATTGTCAGGGTGCGGGAGCTGTCAAGCATCCCAGCACAGTGCCCGCCAAGGACCTTGTTCCACTGAACACGTAACACAGTCCCAAACTGTTCAAAACAGGAGGTTAAAAGTTAGTCCTGAAATTCGAAGGGGGCACCATGCACCGTCACATACGTCAAGGCGACACTAAGATTCCCCACTTTAACAGAACCAGCGGGAACCAGGGAGAGGGTAAACACGCCCCTCACACCGCTCCAGAAACGCCTGAAAGGCAGCATGGAGGTGGAATTTGACTACAGCATGGTTGCCCTGAAGCAGCTGGATGCCCACTAAGTCTGACAGCTGCACATGAAGACGTCCACTAGAGTGACACCAACCAACTGATGGTCCACCGGCACCATAAATGCCAGACCAGCCGACAATGTCCTCTTCACTGGAGGTCGAGAAGTCCCCATGGTAAATCCAAACGTCACCCTGTCAGGGGCAAACCACCACCACCTGTTCATAACATCTTCAATATTATCATCTTCATTGCCTGTAAGACTTTTTCTAGCTAAGATATAATTTGCATAAATAAACTTACTATTAATTAAAATCTTTGATTACCAGTAGACCCCCTTTCCCCCTGTCATGTGATGGCCCAGTCAGCTATAGGCCTTAAACCTCTTTTATTATTATTAATGACTCCAAGGAATATTTCATTAACCCCTACTTGTATTAATGATTAATTGTGGATCAGTTTACATCGGCTATCACTAGAGTTTACATACAAAATTCAGGAATCTGTACACCAGTTGACAGTTCAGAAATGGGATCAAAGAGTTGAAGCTCAACCCCCTGCAAGAATATATCTAAGTGAGTACAACTAGGTGAATACAAAGATAATCAACATCAAGTCAGTTCCAGCTAGTCGTTGGCTTTACTCTGAGACAAAGACAAGTAATTATCAATAGATATTAGAGTAATTATCATAATAATTAAAATTAATTTATCTTAATTAGAGTTCATTACAGAGGTGGTGGCAACAAAAGTAATTAAATTTAATGACAAGCAGCACTTAGTTTTCCCAACATTACAAATGGTAAGTTGTTCCAAGCCTTATATATTGGTAGCAGTGGTGGTGCTATGGTGTTACTGTTTATACATCAGGTGTTATATCTGGTAGTGGCTACAGTATTATATTCACTCACTATCTCTCTCTCTCTCACTCTCACTCTCACTCTCACTCTCTCTCTTCCAATAAGAATTAATTTTCATTTCCTCTTCCTGTAGGTCCCAGCGCGCCTTGACGTTGGGTGTCCGTTACAGCCATGAGATCCAGACTGGCCTCCTGAGGGTGTTGCAGCCACCACCCATCCTCTACCCTAGCATTGACTTCACTGCCATCAGGAGAACATATAATGATTCTGTGGCCAGGGTACAGTGGCGAACTAAACAGGTAAGCAGAGATAGGTGTGTGTGTGTGTGTGTACTTATTTTGTTACATTGTTGTGGAAGGCAGCAGGAGAGGATACCTTGAGGTTACCTTGAGGTGCTTCCGGGGCTTAGCGTCCCCGCGGCCCGGTCGTCAACCAGGCCTCCTGGTTGCTGGACTGATCAACCAGGCTGTTGGACGCGGCTGCTCGCAGCCTGACATATGAGTCACAGCCTGGTTGATCAGGTATCCTTTGGAGGTGCTTATCCAGTTCTCTCTTGAACACTGTGAGGGGTCGGCCAGTTATGCCCCTTATGTGTAGCGGAAGCGTGTTGAATAGTCTCGGGCCTCTGATGTTGATAGAGTTCTCTCTCAGAGTACTTGTTGCACCTCTGCTTTTCAATGGGGGTATTCTGCACATCCTGCCATGTCTTCTGGTCTCATGTGATGTTATTTCTGTGTGCAGGTTTGGGACCAGCCCCTCTTATAGGTTATATCCCCCTAATAGGTTAAATTGAATATCTGCTCTCCATCCTATATTTCCTATAATATCTTCTATTTATTCCAGATAATCTCAACCTACCAAAGTTAAAAAAAGATCAATAATAGTGAATGTAACACGAGAATTAAAATTGTCACAGTGAGAAAATATGATGGTCACATGATGGGCTATGCTGGTTCAACCCCATATACGGCCATCATATTTTTTCATAGATTCATCACATTCTTGTGATCTAATTGTACTTTATCAGAGTGTTCCTAGCATTAACATGCACCCATCATTATCACATACTTTCTCCTTCAGGTGCTAGACTTTGCATTTCTCTTCTGGTATGTGTGGATGCATCACCCCTCCACCTATTACTTGGTACTAGAGGATGATGTGCTCAGTGCCAAACACTTTGTTACTGCCATCAAGGACTTCGTCACACTCCACAGAAACCATCATTGGATATCTTTGCAGGTAGGTATCCTTCCATCGAATAGTCCCATTATAGAATCTGTGCTATTTAGCATCAGTTCAGATATAGTAGTTAATATTCACAGCTACAGTGTGTCTTTGCAGCTAAAACCTAAGATTACCTTGTGATAAGGTCAGAGTGAAAAAAAACATGCCTACATACTGAGCAAATTCCAGTGTGGAAATAACTTTACCCTCCACAGAACAAGTATATAGTTCATTATGGAAGCTCTGAAAGTAAGTGCTAAGGGGATACAAAGGTTTGACCAACAGTTATGGTAAAATTATTGTGTAACTTTTCTTGTTATGTTCATTTTGGTGACAATAAACACAATATAGTAATTAGGTATAGTAATTACCAGGTATGCACCTTTGCGTACCTGGTATCTTAATCACTAGACCACACGACTGTACAAAAATCTTGGTAGTTGTGAGACTATTTATCCAAGATCTGACAGCTCTTGGTGGTCAACTTGGGCATAGATATTTCATCAAAATATGAACCAATAGATCTTAACCAATGGACTACAATATACTTAAGAGTTCCACAACTTAGTCTGCCAAAGATTTTCTCATAGATATACTGTATCACTTTATTGTGATTTCATTGTGTATACCCTCTATACTTTTAATATTTTGATGTTAAAAAGCAAAATAAGATCTAATTTACACTGTTAACTGAAAATTAAAGCAAAATTTTATTTTTTCAGTTGGCTGGATTTTTGGGGATTGGTCAGCTGGTCCGCTGCAGTGATCTCGATCGTTTAGTATCCTTCTTGCTGCTTTTTTACCGAGAACATCCCGTAGATGTCCTCATTAACCAGTGGATCAATCTCATGGCCCCTGAAAAGCCACCAAAGGACCGACCCACTAGGAGGGTTCCTGGGCTTTTCCAGCACATTGGAGTTCACTCCACCTTGGCTAATAAGACCCAGTCACTCAAGGATAATACATTCAGGTAAACTCCAGTTCAGACTGTTGATACATGCTCCGTTTTTACTATTCCATTTACTTAGGCTGAGACTTGTGCTAGCATCATTTACATTGTACCGGATTATACAAATCCTATCTTATAAAAGAGTTCAAACACACATGTTGATGTTTGGGGCTCACCTTGTCAAAAGTTATCTTGCCGTCCTCCAATGATGTACAAAAAGCAGGAGAGTACAAACATTCCTGTACCATGAGGTGCATATCAATACAAAGGCCTGGTGCAAACCAGAAATTTATTTGAAAATGTTTTTTTTACACTTCTTCTCTGAAGCCATAACAGGAGATAATATATATAAATATAAAACACATGATTTGCATCTGACATTGTGGAATAAATTTGTGGTTCAACCTGCCTTCTTCAGGAAATATTACACAGAAATGTCTGCACTCTTTCCTACTAGATATGTATCTAGTAGATTTTATAGGTTTCTACTACTAAATTTCCTAAAGTATGTACAGTATGTACTTAAATAAAGAATTATTATTATTATAGATAGCACTGGAAAGAGTTGATACATGAAATGTAATATCTTAACACTTTGACATTGTGATGACATTCGTGCAGTCATCAAAACAACACACGCAGTTTGGGGCATGACATTAATGCTGTCATCAATTAATTTTTGCTTATTCTTATTATTAAATATAAACATTGTGAGTGAAGGAGTTTAGCATTGGGTTGTGTGCCCATGGGCAACGCCCGGCCTACCTTGCGGTGCGATGCAGGTGGTCCGCCGGGCCAGGCAAAACGTTAAGAAGTGAGAAATGGTGGCAGATGAAGGATGTTGTTGACTTTAGCATCCACCTAACATTTCCACACTCATGGCTACTCCATTAAATATATCCATAGAATTTATCCATACTTACATACATACATACTACAGTATTTTCTCAAATAAAATATAACAAACAATACACAGTTTATTTATGTCAGGAGCTATCTTACATTCTTGTTAAGCCACTAGCACATACAGTATAGTGTTTTGGGCAGGTCCTTAATCTTAATTTTCCTTAGAATACAATCCGCCAAATCACTTAACAACAAGGTACCCGTTCACTGCTGGGTGAACAGAGGCATACAATTAGGGATTGGCGACTAGTCAATCCTTCCCAGCCAGGGTATGAACCCAGACTGAATCACTCGCAAAGCGAGGGGCGAGTGTCTTACCACTGCGGTGCTGGGATTGTCAATAACAGAAAATTTTCATCATTTGATAAAGGTGGTATTGGTAACTGAGAGTTTACATGACAACATTTACTGGCAAGTTCTTCCCCTTATAACCTCACCTGGCGCCATACATGTCATCGTTGTTGTTCTCAAAGTATGATACTGGATCTAGTCAGCTTTTGTATTGTTAGCATACATAATTGCAAGACATTTTTAAATTGTGCCAATAATCTTGGATGGCTGCCCCAGATGCGAAATTATTACATTTTTTATATTTACCCAGAAATACAAATTTGTATTATACTTAATACAGGTTAATATATATGATTAAAAAATCAAAACATTCTATATATTATTTATAATTTGGTGCTAAAAAGTAATTATATAGTCAACATGTAACAAAATACTGTACTTGTAGTAAGGCTAAATCACCATTTTTAACTGCACACTCTAGATTTTTTAAGTGAGGTTCTTGAACCATTGGTAGTGTTGCCAGTGCTTGAAACCACAGGAGGGAAGTGCTGCTCACTAAAAGTTGATTTAATAGTCAAATTCAAAATTGAAATTCAAAACAAATTAAGAACAAGTTGTTCTGAAGTAGTGTGAAATTAGAATTCATCAACGACATCAAGTCAGATCTGGCATGTTAATTTTGTTTTCATTTTTCCCCAACGGGCGAGTTTATTGGGCAGAGCCACTCGTCTTGTGAGTGAACAAACTGTCATAGCAGCCTATACAACACCCCTCATAGGAAGAAATCTCACAGAGTTGTTCATGTTACTTGTACCCAGACACAATTGGAACTTAATTGTCTTAAGTGATTGGTTAGCTGTTACTTCTAGGTCCACTTCTTAGTATGATGCAAGGTTGTTCTGTCAATATGATAATTAGTATATGAGTGAAATATAGTTTATTGTTGTAATGCATTCTTTCCTTACATTTATTAATTTGTTATCATCCTCATTACCTTGCAGTTTGGTAAAGCGTCGTTTCTCCCACGTCAATCCAACGGCTGACGTAGTGACAACCATCCGACAGTATAAAGCCTACTTGGCAGAGCATGCCTACTCCTCAGCCCCGGGTATGTTTTGGGGCATTCCTAAACCAGGAGACACCTTTGACATCCTTTTTCCAGAACCGCTGAAAATATCCAGGGTGGTAATTCTTACTGGAGCAGCAATCAATAAGAAGGTATGTACTGGGGACTAACATGAGTAGAAGACAAATAGACAAATATTATTATTATTAGACTGGCAGTGTTGAGGAGAAATATATGGGAAAATTTGCATGCAAGGAAAGGAGAAAGGAGGTCACATTATCTGAAAAGTCTGTAGTTTAAATTATTTTCTGGGCAAGTGAGACTGTGTTATTCGTAAAGAAGTGAATATAAAATGAGATATATTATGTGAGCAATACAATTAATTGTGCAGTTAACATATACAAAGATTATATATGGTCCAGTAATATTGGCACATTTAACTGGATAAAAGTTAAAGTGGTAAATAATATATATGATTAAAAAATATATGATTAAAATATTTTAGCCTGAGATAGAGACCAGTTCTAAAATGAACCACCAACTTCAGTCTCCAGACTCCAAACCAGGTACAAGTATCTTTGAATCAATTGAAAATACTGTACCATGGAGGCATGCCAAACACACTATGCATCCTTGAATATTAACATTAAACTTAACAGTTCCCTAGAAAATGAGTATAGATATTAAATTTTGGAATTTCTTGATGCATTAGAAGAAATTAAAAGAAAAATATCAAACAGTATGAAAACTAAAGAGGACTGACACCCTGCTACTATGTCCATAATATCAACTCTTAATGCTCGGCAGTTTCCAAAAAATGAATAGCCAAACATGAGATACCTGTCGACAGTCTCCTACACCCCCTGAGTAGTAGTCTCCAAACCAATGTGGATGAGTGGCTTATTATTCCAGGAGTGTTATCTAATACCTTGCAGTCCCCATGGTGTAGTTGGCAAGACACTCGCCTGGCGTTTCTTGAGCGCTTTGTCCTGGGTTTGTATCTTGGCCGGGGAGAATTTACTGGGCATCAATTCATAACTGTGGTCTCTGTTTACACAACAGTAAAATGGATACCTGGTTGTTAAATGATTTGGCGGGGTCGTATTCCAAGGAACATAGGATTAAGGACCTGCCCAAAATGCTATGCGTGCTAGTGGCTGCACAAGAATGTGGTGGCTGTACAAGATTGTATATATGGAAAAATAAAATAAAAAATAGTATGAAAACCCTGGATTTATCTGGATTTACCTGAGGGCCACCATCTCTAGTTGCCTTAACAAGGACAGAATGTGAAAATATATAACCGCAATAGAAAATTAAACAAGAAATGACTTGAGCGCTTACGTGTTAATCAACATATCTTGAAAAATATAATTAATGAAATACAACACTTGAATATATAGGCAGGAATCTGATGTGCGAGGTGAAAAACAATGTCTTTGTAATATTGGTTCATGAACATAACAAGAGGAAACTGCAGAAGGCCTAATGACCAATACATGTGAGTTTTTGGAAGCACAATCCTTAATGATTAATACATATGAGTTCTAAGAAGTCCTATTCCTAATTGGATATGTACATAATCATCCTACAAAGATTGTTTTTTAATTGATCAATTCAAAATGGGTCCAAATTGTACAAACTATTACATACTAATATTCATGTTGTATGGCTTTGGAAGCTTGCCATAGTAAAGCTCAATGTACATATTATCACCACTTGCACATTAAAGCTAATTACAGGCAACGTATGATTTAAATTTGTTGAGAATTTTGTGGACATCAGTGTATAAAATTTTACAATATACAGTACAAATAAAATTAAGAAAGTAAACAAAATAATAATAATTCCAGGTTGTTGTTGTTGTTGTTGTTTTAGATTCAGCTACTCAGAGCAAAATTTCCAAGCAGCATGGGCTGTGGTGAGTCCGTCATTTAATATGATATTGCAAGATTCATTGTGGGGGTAGAATTGGTACAGTGTTAGGTGGCACTCTTTTTTTTTATGGCAATCCTGACCCCTTATGTTGGGCACACACCTAACAATAATTACTATTTCGTAAATAACAAATATTTGAGTGACTAAGAATTTACAGTTACAAGATAAATAATAAAATTCTTATTTCAGACTCGGGATCGTCTCCTATATGGCAGTCTAGAAGTATCCTCAACCTTTGTTAAGATGGAGAACCCTAAACGGGCCTTATGCAAAGGTTTTTCATCTGTCCAGGACTTCAAAAATGGAGAACTAGATGTAAGAAACTTGAGAAAGACCTTCCCTAAGGGTATTCAGTGCCTCAGAATAGCCATTGGCACCAAGCAGAAGTCATGGGTGGCCATCACAGAGGTGGCTGTCTTCACCGAGGAGGACCACGCAGGAGAATCTAAGTCGACACTAATCTCTGCCACTCTTGAAGTCCATCAGAGCAAGGACAAAGTAAAGTGACTCAGTAATCAGTTTCAAGACTTTCAGAAATTCTAGTCTAAAACACTGACATTACAGTGAGTTGGTCATGGTTTTGAGCCTTCTTAAAGACACCAGACTGAGACTGCTGTAAATTTAGTGGCCTGGTGATTGTTTTAATACTTTCCAGGTTTCCCAGAGCAAGACTGTTGACCTTGACCTACTAGAAACACTAAAGCAAGGTCAACTCCTATTATTTCTTACTAGGTATGAATACTGTATTAGACTAAGACCGTGAGTACGGAGATACAATTGTTATTAATTTACGGGTGATGGCGCTCCTAGGATTGGATGCACTTGCCAAGATATATAATTGTAAAATTTGACAGATGCCACTTAACTTTATCAGTCATGAAGAGATAACGAAAAGCTGGTAACAAAAAAAGTCACAGTTAATGACTTTGCAACGTTTTCTTTAAATGTGAGTCATGGAAGTAAGAGGTTTAGGAGAAAAATATATTTAATCTATTTTGACAGGTCATTGCTAGTATTTTTATATCAAAATAAAAATATAACTGGTTTTGTTGACTTAGGAAAAGTTGAAACATTTTTAAAACAATAATAAACTATTTAATGGTGATGAAGACGTCCAGTGTAAATTTAACACCCTTAAATTTTCACTCAATGAACACGTGAGTATGTTAAGGTAGAATAAACACTGAAACTTATTTTGGCAAAAAATGTTAATTATAAATTTCATAAAAACTGCAAACTATTGTAAGTATACTCAGTAAGAGTATTTAGTAAACATGTTAGTAATGTTGTAATTATAGAAAACAGCAAAAAGTGATGTATAAAATAGCAAGGACAATATGTTGTTTTAAAATATATCATAGGGGTCCTATAGCATAGGACAATACAGTATGTTGTCCTAAAAGATATTATATGGGACCTGTAGCAAAGGACAGTATGGTATCTAAAAAGATATTACAGTATATGGGTTCTGTAGCACAGGACAGCATGGTGTCAAAGAAAAAATATATACGAGTCCTGTAGCATACTGGTCTGTGTCTTCGGCTCACAATTGAGGAACTTTGGTTCAATTACACACAGAAATCACAATTGCATGATGCATCAAATGAACAAATCCGCAAGGGCTGTGACAAGGATGTGTGTAATGAAGTAAGGGCGAAGAGGTAGAACAGCCTATTGACATAGCTCGAGTGCATGGGGGGAGTTGTGTAAAACCCTGGTTTGTGCCTCGGAGAGGCTGCAGGATCCAGTAAGTTCGGTAGAACTTCGGTTTCAACTCCTTTTGACCATGTCGTAGCTCAGTCAATCAAGGCAGCGTCTGGGATGCTCTCGGACGCAGGTTCGAATCCTCGTCACGGCCCTAGTGGATTTGTTCACTTTGGTTCAATCCCTGTGCTGGACAGAAGCAGTTTGGTTTGTGTTCAGCTGCCAGTTAAACACATACCTGGGAGTTAGACAGTTACTGTGGGTTGCATCCTGGAAATGCTCAGTATGGCTAATTTAGAATATTTTACAATTTTAACCTTAATCCAGTATAACTGAACATCTATGCAAACAAATAGGGAACCTTGTTGTAAAGCTTCATTTAAAATTTTGAGCCTAAAAGGAAGCATTGGAAATTGTTAACAAAACATACTTTTAACACAAACAAACAAAATTTTTTTTAATAGCGTGCAGATAATAAGCAAGTAAAAATAAAAACATTACTTGTAACACTAAATAATAAATACATATAGTAGCTATAATACAGTACTCTCAATTGAAAACTCTGTTGTATGAGTATATTTACATATAAAATAAATGTTTCTTCTGCGTATGAGAAACAATATCATTAAATGGCAATATGTAATTAATGTACATAAGAGCTGAACGGGTCTCTGAAAAGATCCTAAACAGTCTTTTTATCAATCAAAAAAAGTAAAAATATATGAGTAGTGTTATGACAAAAAATGGTAAATCAATCATTAAAATATTCCCTTAAATTTACTCTGGTTTATAAATACTATACAGTACATTTGTGCTCTGGATTATATATTTGGAAAAGTCTTTGATTTGCCCAAAAAAAATCCTAGGACAGACATTAAGAGTCATGCAATGCCATTATTCATAATTCCTCCATAAATTCATAATTTACTGAACACGTTTGAGTATCAATACATACAGAAGTGGAGTGAATTATGCAATCAATTTTGTGATTATGTTCCAGTGACTAATATCATATATGACTATGGTTGTTTAACTGTGGACGAGATACCATTATACAGCACTCAAAAATTTATGTAGGTATCTTGCATCATTATATATTAGATACTTTTTATGTACTTATATTGAGATCATATACCTTCTTCTATAGACAAAATATATACTTGTGCAAGGTTCACTGTACTATTCTTTGTACTTATTGGTTCTTCAGCATTTTAGCCTCTTGAGCCACCAGACATCAAGTGCCGGCTTGACTTCAGGCACCAGACATTAAATGCTAGCTAGACTTGACCCACCAGGCAGTGTCAAGTGTCAGCTAGACTTGACCCACCAGGCAGTGTCAAGTGTCAGCTAGACTTGACCCACCAGGCAGTGTCAAGTGCCAGCTAGACTTGACCCACCAGGCAGTGTCAAGTGTCAGCTAAACTTGACCCACCAGGCAGTGTCAAGTGTCAGCTAGACTTGACCCACCAGGCAGTGTCAAGTGCCAGCTAGACTTGACCCACCAGGCAGTGTCAAGTGTCAGCTAGACTTGACCCACCAGGCAGTGTCAAGTGCCAGCTAGACTTGACCCACCAGACAGTGTCAAGTCCTAGCTAGACTTGACCCACCAGGCAGTGTCAAGTGCCAGCTAGACTTGACCCACCAGGCAGTGTCAAGTCCTAGCTAGACTTGACCCACCAGGCAGTGTCAAGTGCCAGCTAGACTTGACCCACCAGGCAGTGTCAAGTCCTAGCTAGACACGAGCCAGCCATTGGGAGTGGTTTTGCATCCAGCTGTCAACCTTTAGTGCAACTGTATATAGACATAATTAAATTTTAAAAAGACACAACTTTCTGCTTTTGTCTATACTGAAATGTCAGTAATGTCTATACTGAAATGTCAGTATAGTCCCATATGCCAAAGATGTATATAAATAGACAAGTGTCAGTCATTATGTATAAAAATCTCTTCATGAATTCTCACAAATCATACATGTATAGACAACATTGTGGCTAGTCCAAAGTGGGTTATGAAATATAAAGTAATCTTCAAAAGATATTTTACAATGTCATGCTGTAACTTTGAAAATACAGTAGTAGATTTTACTGGCTATACCAAGTTTTTGTCAGATATTTTAACTTTACTTGACTTTTTAATTTTTTGTTTAATTTAGTGCTTGGCATAAATTAGCAAAATAGGTTTTTAGCTTAAAAATGTAATTATTCATATATTTGAACCCATTAAAAGATGTTGGCTATAATAATATTATATTTACCATAACTTTATAATGCAAGAATTTCAATAAGTGCTGAATATCACAACCAAATAGCATTAACTGAACATTCAAGGCTTAAGTTTTTTAATTTAATGTTATTTAGCACCCCTTTGTTGACTATCTTAGTAACTTAGGTCTTTTATCAAAGCATTAGTTCCCCCTTTAGTTATTACAATGTAGTAAGTTTAATCAAAAATATAATTGTAGGTTTATCCGATATTGAATAATATAATCTTTGAATAACAGCTAAAAAAGGTATGTTACTACTGTATTATTATACTGTATATTAATTCTTTATTGTGTCAAATGATTTTGCTTCATTTGTTTTCAGTAACATAATGGTTCATTGGTGGATTATCAGTGTATAGAATTCGGGTAGTCATTGTAAAATTAAAGACAACTCAACCAAAACTTCTCTTGTCTGCAATCCACCAGTATTAACAGCAAATGTAATCAGCATTATCAGAGCCAGTTCATATACGTCAAGGCATGTTGTAAAATTTAGTCTAGCCATGTTTCATTCAGTCTAGCCATGTTTCATTCAGTCTAGCCATGTTTCATTCAGTCTAGCCATGTTTCATTCAGTCTAGCCATGTTTCATTCAGTCTAGCCATGTTTCATTCAGTCTAGCCATGTTTCATTCAGTCTATCCATATTTCATTCTGTTTAGCCATGTTTCATTTAATCTTGTCATATACAATTCAGTCTAGCATTGTTTCATCCACCTGTCTCCATCTCTCTCTCCATCCTTATGTTATGCAATGATCATATACACAAGTTGATATAGCCCATTCAGCCATCATTATGCTCACCCCAGAGATATTGTTCTCAGTCTCTACCTTGGACCTGTCCTAGACACTGTGCTATGTAGCTTTGCAGGCTTAGTGCTTTCTTTCAGTAATTAGTTACTTGTATAGCTCTTGTGTGCACAATTTTTTTTTTTAGTATTTTTTCCATATATTGGCAGTCCAGTCAGTACTGCAGTATATTAGATTTTGAAGACATAACTTAGCAATTGAATTTTTCCTTAGGCCATATATATTAACATCTAATAGTCTACTGTGTATGGCAGGTTCAGCTTTAGCACATTAATTAATATCTGTAAGTTGTAGTGCACATTCTACTTTCTTGAAATGTATTATAGAGTATTGTGTATAGTTGCACTGCTTAGCTGTGATTTATCCTCTATATTTTAGCTCATTTATTTATACTCCTCTAGACATGATGTACCACGCTCAAAACATGGTGATCATTGGTACCATTTTGAAAACATATTAACCATTGGTACCAAGCTCTACACATGATAGCCATTGGTACTAAGCTCTTCCCAGCTTGCAATTCTGCATCAGTCAGGAACCAGCATAATAATCCACTTTATATTTTTGTATATACTGTGGTTTCATTAATATAATTAATATAACTGAAAGTAATAAAGTTTCCTCCAACTAATGATGTCAGGCCTCGAAGGTTGTGTTTCTGTATTACAAAATATGATCAGAAATGAATTTGATTGCCAGCTTTGGTTAATGTTATTTATATTATTGTATTACTATATAAAAATCACGTGTCCAGCATTTTGTCATAGATTAACTTGTTAAATAGTCCCTGTAATCAGTTCCTTGCAGACCTTGCCCAACCACTTGGGCTGGAAGGTAGAGCGACGGTCTCGCTTCATACAGGTCGGCGTTCAATCCCCGACCATCCAAGTGGTTGGGCACCATTCCTTTCCCCCTCGTCCCATCCCAAATCCTTATCCTGACCCCTTCCAAGTGCTACATAGTCGTCGTGGCTTGGCACTTTCCCCTGATAATTCCCTTTCCTTCCTTGCAGACCTCATTGCCACATGTACCATCTCATTTGTTTCATGTTTTTGCTGTGATAATTATTTTTTAATAATAGTTGTATCATGTAAATTGTTTATCATTTATCCTATTGCATATGAAAAACAGTAACTAAATTTATTGATAATGCATTATAAGCATTGGCTGTTGGCATAGAAAACCTCTGCATATGAGCAATATTGAAGCATCAGTCAACAATGTTGTATACTGCATCACAGTCAGTTAAAAAAGCATGATGATATCCCAGGAAGTTTGAGGACAATGTGGAGATCCTTCACCACCTTGATGGTGCCAGGGTAAGTACCTAGATTATAAGACCATGCTTACAACCCCAAATATTATTTTCATAATGTGGTTCTTGCATCAAAGATTGATTCTCCTGAATTGTAAAAGCAAGTCTCTCAATCTTGCAGCTCTCAAGGCATGGCAAAACCACATTAGAAGAAAATAGTTTGTAATGACAAAATTTAAGATGATCATATGCCAGGGAAGGGAAAGGAATGCCAAGCCATTACAACTACAGTATATAGCACTTGGAAGGGGTCTGGATAAGGATTAAGGTAAGAAAAAGGAGGCCTGGTCGAGGACCGGGCCGTGGGGACGCTAAGCCCCGAAATCATCTCAAGATAACCTCAAGATATGGAGAAAGGCCTTGTAACTCCAGCATAAAAAATTCATAATATCAACGACACAAGGATCAGGCAGTTCAATTTTTTGAAATTTGAATTTGAACGACACCTTCATAATTCAAAATGAAATAATGATTTTTCCGACCCATATTGGAATCTGACCCAACTATCAGCTGGGCCAACTGACCCTTGACCAGCCGCCAGCACCACAGTGGTTAAACGTGCTCCATACTCAATCCGTCCTCCTACTAGAACGTT